GCTGGCAAAATTTGGTGTCATTTCATGGTTGCAACCGAACACAGTGTGTATAATATGGTATGTTCGGGTAGACCGGAAGGGCAACTCTCGAGCCACTTTTCTTTTCACCTCCTTCAAACGCGCCCGAATTGTTTCCACACCTTGGCATCACCATGGCCAGCATTCGCGCCAAATTTTGTTGGTTTCAGACACTCTATGCTTGTTCTAGGGTTTTCCGGTGAAAAAACTCTAAAAAAACAGGCCGGACGAGACGCAATGTTTGTTCGGAGTCCGAATTCGTTCAAATTTTGCATGACGGACAAACTTGGGCATGCCCAACCGCTGATAAAATTTGGTGTCATATCATGCTTGCAACCAAACACACCGTGTACAACCTTGTACGTTTGGGTAGGCCGAAAGGGCAAGTCTCGAACCATTTTTCTTCACCTCCTCCGAACACACCCAAATTTTTTCCTCACATTGGCATTACCATGGACAGCTTGCATGCCAAGTTTCATTAGTTTCAGTCATCCTATGCTTTTTCTAGGGGTTTGCCGGTGGAAAACCCTAAAATATAGGCCGGACGTGACACAATGTGCATTTGATATCCAAATTCGTTCAAATTTTGTGTGGGGGAGAACCTTTGGCATGCCCAACTGCTAGCAAAATTTGGTGTCATTCCATGCTTGCTACCAAACATACCGTGTACAGTCTGGTGCGTTCGGGTAGGCTGAAAGTGCAACTACCGAACCATTTTTTTTCACCTCCATTAAAGGCACCCTTTTTTTTGTCACGCATTGGCATTACCTTGGGTATCATGCATGTCAAAGTTTCGTTGGTCTCAGACATTATATGCTTTTTCTAGGGTTTTTCCAATGAAAAACTCTAAAACACAGGCCAAACGTGACGCAACATAAGTTTGGTGTTCGAATTTGTTCATATTTTGCATGAGGGACAACGTTGCGCATGCCCAACTGCTGGAAAATTTTGGTGGTTGACCCTTATACATTTCCTGCTTTTAAATATCACAAGCGGTGCGGATGGCAAGCAGTGTAATCAAGACGATGAGGTTACAAAATTTGTTCCCAAGTACAAAAAATATCTTGATTTCGACAGTTTTTCGCAAATTCAATAAATGTTTGGGGAATTTTTAAAAAAATGTTCGCACTTTGAAACGATTCTTGGTAATTTTAAAAAATGTTCGTGTTTTCAGTTTAGTTACTTGTTTCAACAAATGTTTTCCTTTTCAAAGTTTTTTCCTTTGTGAAACAAATGATTGAGAGTCTCATGTTTTCACAAAATGTTTTAGTTTTTTTAAATAACAAATTTGAAAATGATCGTATTTCCCCAAAAAATTGTTCCCTGTTCCAAATAATGTTATCGTTTTCAATTTTGTTCCTTTTATGATTCCTAAAAAATGTTCACGTTCTCACAAAATCTTCTAGTTCTTTTGAAATTATCACAAATTTTTAAATGACCGCATTTCTAAAAATATTTACTTTTTCCAATAAGAAAATGAGGTCCGAGTTTTTTTTAAAATAATTTCGCGGCTTATGGTTCATATAGACTGGGCTACCTTTTTGGACACCAAACCCCTGTTAGTATAGTGGCTACCGACGTGGTTGACTGTTGTGATGTCCCTGGTTCGATTCCTATTGCACATTTTGGTTTATCTTAATTCTGCGAACTTTTGTTTAAAATTTTGCCGCGACCTTTAGTTTCTTAATTATTGATTTGCGCTAGAAGTTTGACGCAGCACATTGGCAGTCCAAGTGGTTAGCACATCGTGCACATAAACTTGAACGTGCAGGTTCGATTCCCATCACCCTCATTTTTTTCTCACGACTTTTCTCTCAATGAAAGCGGCGCACCCACAAATGGGCCGGCCCCTTTACGCAGACCATTTACCGGAGTTCTCTTCTCTAAAAAAAACTAACCGGAGTTCTTAGCGCGGACTAAGTACTTTGGAGAAAAGACCATCATGTCCTTTATTATAAAGGGGTATAGGATAATCTCATCCATCGATGTGATCAGGGGGGTCTACCGAAGCATAAGTATAATATGATGGCTGGGGTAAAATATCACTCTAGCAGAGTCGTCATACATGTCAGGATCGCAATAAAATTTAAAGAGTTAATTACACCCGCAGTACATAAACTTGCAGAGAGATAACAAGATCATACATAATCTTGAAAACCCCATAAACTGATCAACTAACCTTAGTTCGAATAACAAATTCATACAAATTTGTCCATGTGCTGACACATGTCATTGTCTTTTACCCGAAAACCTCTACAACTAGTGGAATTTGTATGATCAGGATGTTGGCTTAAAATCCCCAAATATACCGCCGATTGGTCGCAGCAAAGGGTGGTTGCACCGCGGGATCCCATCAGCGGTTGAGTGAGCCCACCAGTAGCAGCGTGCCGCTGCTGCTTACCGACGACCCCACCACAAATTTGTCCAGGTGCTGACACGTGTCATTGTCTTTTACCCGAAAACCTCTGCAACTAGTGGAATTTGTATGATCAGGATGTTGGCTTAAAATCCCCAAATATACCGCCGATTGGTC